ATCAACACAATCACAGTTACTGAACTTTTCGGTCCAGTCAATATTACTTAGATTGGTTTTTATAGAGTTAAAGTCTGATTTATAATAATTATATCAACGTTGACCAGGATTATCTTTCAACGTCTCGCTGCCAATGTGTGGTGATAGATCAATTTCAATTGGTGGATGGTAAGGGTCTAATTTGCTTAAGCAAGTAGAACTGCCAACCACGCGGCAGTGGGGCATTGGTAAGAACTAAGTCCAATATTTTATTGTTTCCATTCACCACAAAATTACTTTGTTCCAAACCACACTCAGAACAGAATACAACCAACGATTATGCATTCATACAACATATGTGGAATCGCCAACCAGACTCCAATTCAGGCAACTAAGGTTAAAGTCGCCGAGTAAACAATAAACCGATTCGACACTACACTGATCAATAGAAACTATTTGTTTGACGGTGTTAGATATGATTATGTCAATCGTAACCCACAGATCCTCACAGTTGCTTTCCCAGAACAAGACTCTATAAGAGTTGTGTTGTGTACATCGAAATCACAACACTGAACATTTGTGTAAAATTATTGTTTTAGTGCGTAATCCTCTAACATTTTGATAATATATTTTGAACATTGGAAATTTAGCGAGTAAAGTGAGAAAAAAACATTAATCAGAACTGTAAAATTGTACAAAGCAGGACAGCAATTTATAACTACTATTTTTTCTTATCTATGGAGTCCATATCAGCAATAAGCTTGTAATGAGCATCATCGTCTCTGCGTACAATACTCATAGCTTCCTCACGCGTACCTCTGCCTCGCACAGCAATGATAGAGAGGTCCCGACCCTTTACAAGAAGGCCGCCGTCACTTACGGAGAGTCCAACAAGATGATACAGGAGGCACCGAGTTCCGAGAATTTTCTCGAGCGAGAAATCCGAATAAAATTGACTATGGCCGCCGCAGTCAACAGCAAATAGCCCAAGCAAGAACAGGAGTATGTTAGGAAGGCAAAAAAACCACCGCGCAACAATAACAACGTTGTTAGGAAGGAAAGAAATTAGAAAAAATTCAAATCAACACTCAAAAATGCCACTAGCGACACGCGCGAATAAAAGATATAACTTCGACCCTTTTAAGGCGAAAGTGAATAGGCATTATTTAGGTGTGCAATGTGCATGTTCCATAATCGGCCTCAGTGTCCATCAGGTGAGATGAGGCCAAAAGGGCACTTATTAAAAAAAAATTTTTTTGGAATACGCAAAATAAAATTGCAAATTGTTACATTTTCACATTATTTAATTTACTACTGTTGAAGTACTAAAGGAAATGTATAGCCCTGGAAAATAATGATAAAACATTCAGCTTTTTAACCTGAAAAATTCCTTCTGATTATTTTAATATAGTACTAGTATATACCTAATGACATTTTAAAAATTATATTATCTTTAAAAAATAGGTATAGTGTAGGTTATGACGATATTTGCACAATACCTGTAAATTCCATTGCTCTACCATTATGTCACATAATTAACTTGAGTCTTATCTCGGGAGTTTTTTCTGACAGTTTAAAGTTTGCAAAACTTGTACAAAAAGGGAGACGCGGAAAATATTAGCAACTACAGACCTGTGGCATTACTTCCAATATTTGCCAAAATTTTTGAAAAAGTTATACACAATAATTTATACTCGTTCCTAGAAAAGCACAAGATTATTATCACTGAGCAAATAGGATTTAGAAAAAATATGTCAATAAATAAAGCTATTTATGACTTAACACGTAGGGCTGCAACGAAACTAGACCAAAGAATTCCTACCTGTGCAGTATTCATGGACATGTCCAGGGCGTTTGATCATGTAGAGCATAAGGCTTGCTAGAAAAATTAAATAATTACGGAGTAAGAGGAGTTGCTCTGAACCTAATTCAATCATATCTTCACAACAGACAGCAGTACACAGAGCTAAGTCAAGTATGTATCAACAGCGGTTGGGTTAAGCAGTACAAATCGAAGTGTAGAGTTGTAGAGCATGGTGTTCCGCAAGGTAGCATATTGGGACCTCTTCTATTCCTAACGTATATAAATGACATGCCCAGCAGCTGTGGTTATCCAATGATACTATTTGCTGATGATAGCACCGAAATTATTGAAAATACAAACGGTGCCACAATTATTATCTAAACGAGATAAACTCTACTCTTGACCATCTGGCTACGTGGATGAATAATAACAACCTAAAAGTCAACACAAATAAAACTAAAATTATGTTTTTTAATCAGAGAATGACTCTACCTGACCTAAAAGTTAAATGTGGTGACAATGTTATAGAAAAAGTAAATGTAACAAAGTTTTTAAAGGTATAACTGTAGATAGGGATACGTCGTTTAAAACTTACTCGCAACTGGTCTGTGCAAAACTATACACGCTTAGCTATGCACTCTACAAATTGTCAAAAACTGCGGACCGCCGAACTGTGGTAATGGCTTACCACGGCTTTGTTGGATCTATCCTTAGGTGTTGTGTGATTTTCTGGGGTAACTCTACCTACAGAGAAACTATATTTAGAGCACAAAAGCGATGTGTCAGAGCCATATGCAATATTAAATACACTGACAGTTGCCGATCATTTTTCCGTGACCTAAAATTATTAACCTTCCCATGTCTGTACATCTTTGAGGCATCTATTTTTGTTAAGACGAACTTGAGTGAATTTCCAGAAACAGTAAGTTCACAAGCGCATTTATTTCGTACCAGGAAATATATGGTCCGAAGAAATATATGTAAAACGGCCCTATACAAAAATAGCGTTGTTGACATGGCACCCAAAATATTTAATAAAATTCCAGACGCAATAAAAAATCTTAGTGGAATGCAATTCAAGCATGTATTAAAACAGTTATTAATTGACAAGTGTTACTATAGCATAGATAAATATTTTAATGACAGTTTCTTAGAATAGGTAAATGCTGACAGTTGGGTACCATTTAGTTATTAATATTTTTAGACTTTTTAGTTATTATTAGTTTTTTGACATTGTATCCATTTTTCTTTTATTTTTATTTTGACATTACATTTTTATTTAATTGACTTCGTATTTACTTTGGCTTATTGCAGAGAATCCATAAAATTATTATTACTATCTATATCATGTACCTTTAATAACGAATGAATAAATGAATTGAATTGAATTGAATATAATATCGTTATTTTTCTTAACGTTTTTGTTGTCATCTGACCTAACAAGAATTAATCACTTTTTGATTTTTTTTTAATTAGTTCAATTTTATTTTAAGGGTGCATTTAATTGACGTCTCTTGACGTCACACTTAAGCATTGTACCATTTTTATCGACATAAGCGTTGTGGAATCAAGTCAAACATCAAAATAATAATATTTTGTACCTACTTAGTTGTTTTTTAGATAGGTATTTAACATGCAATTTTTTCTTGTACTATTTTTTAGGGCGGTGTACACACATCAAAAAAAGTTTGCGATCAATAGCATAAGCTCCTATAATTCTTTAAATTTAACTTTATCAAGAAAAAATCTATGTTGTATGCTTTCTTTAAATAGGAATACCCTGTTTGAAATTAAAATATAAAACTATTTTTTATTATTTATTTTAAAAAATTGAGCCATTAATCATAATGTAATAGTGATAGAAATTTCATAGAAAGAAAAAGACTCTTTAATTAAACTTAAACAACAATTTATTATTAAAAGGTGTGAATTCAATATAAAATAACTCCTCCCCTGGCTCGAATACATGCGAAGATCCTCCTGGGCATGCTGAGGATCAAGTTATCCAGCACTTCCTGGGGTAACCTATCCCATTCTGCAATAGCGGCTTCCCTGAGCTCTGGAACTGTCTGGGGACGTGGCTCACGGTTCCATACTGCTCGTTTAAGAGCATCCCACGCGTGCTCTATTGGGTTTAAGTCGGGCGAGCCGGCAGGCCAGTCTAATCGTGTGATATCGTATTCTTGAAGAGCAGCATTGACTCGTTGAGCTCGATGTGCGGGCGCATTATCATCGACCAGTACAAATTGGTGCCCATGGTTTACTCGGAATGATCTGACGATATCATCAATAGCAACTGCTTTGTACATGTCTGCTGTCATGAAGCCCCGATACGGGATCAAAGGCGTTCTAGCTCCAATCATAATGCCACCCCAAAAGGACACCGATTTTCCGCCTTGCTGAACTGTTCCAGTGGCAGTTCTTTGTCTTTCACGGTCGCCTGGTCTTCTCCAGACACGGACACGTCGGTTATCTGGATGAGTGCTGATTCGGGATTCGTCAACGAAGAGACAGTTTTGCCAAATGTTTTCGTCCTCACCTTCTTCATTTTGCCGAAGTCTAGCCCACTGCAATCTTCGTTGTTGATGTTGCCGGGAATTGAGCGGAGCTCGCCAAGACCTCCGTGCTCGTAATCCAGCCTGGTGCAAGCAATTGCGAACGGTCTGCGTGCTAACTTCAAGCCCAGAGGCGGCCCTGACTTCTGCTTTTATTTTAGTGGCGTTGATTGTTGGATCACGGGCTGCCAGCAATCTTATATAGCGCTTTTGGGCAGCTGTCAAAACAGTTGGGCGACCGCTGCGGGGTCGGTCAGCTAAATTCCGCATTCCGTGATACCTCTGCAACGTAGCCACGACACAGGATTGGGATATAGCAAGTCTGCGTGCTATTACTCTCGTGGTGTATCCTTCTTCCCTCAAAGTTACTATTCTAGCTCGTAAAACCTCTGATAATCCTCTTGGCATTTTTTCAATCACAACTTTCCGCGAAAAATATCTTGAATCGCTTATAATTGACTAAATCAGATTTCTGAATGAGCGTAAGCTAGGACTGAAAGCCTTTTTATATGAAAAAACAATTGAACGGGGTCATTGTTTTATGTTCTAATTTATTTTTAAATAAAGAATCTAAAAAGAAGAAAAAATCATAATATAATCTACAGTAACAAAAAAGATTTCAGTTTTTCGAAGTGATCGCAAACTTTTTTTGATGTGTGTATGTAACAATGCAAGAACGAAATTAAAAAGATTTCATGAAATTCTACAAAATGTAGTGGTGAAAACTTTAAATTAACTTTCCTTGAAGAAAAAAGGAAGACAAAAGAAAGCCATCCCATTGCGTCCGGGATTGCCATTTACATTTCTGGATCCGGGGCATTCATTGCGTATCCAAATTTTTGCAATGCAGATTTAATTTCACCAAAAACTGAAGCATCTTCTATAGTTGCAGGAAGCTTGACCAGTTGAGACCTAGCTAATTTGGATATGGCCCCACGTAAGGCTTTTCCTGATCGTGTGCGGGGTATTGCAGGCACCGCTACCGCTTTTCTGAATGCTGCTATCGGACCAATCAGGTGACGTACGAGTGCAATTAGTTCTTGTGTAACTGTACTCTCAGGGACGATTTCCTCATCTAAAGGAAAGTGAAAAGAATTTGTTGCTTAATGCTACTAAGTAACTGATCTGTCATCAGTAAATATTTTAAGAAATCATACGCGTAATATGTGACCAACATGTGATCAAAAGTCAAAAGTGCTCTTATCACATGAAAATCATAATAATCCCTTTGGACCAGTTATATCATTGAATTATACCATTTATAATATAAATCTAAAATATATAGATTTTAAGGCTTTCGTGGTTATTCACTGAATGATTATCACTAATTTCTGGCTTCTTGCCACGGACTTTTTTTTATTTCGGAACGGTTGCACGCTCCGTGGCCACGGGTTTAACAGGACAGCTTTAAGAGCAGACATAAGTATCTGTCTACCCTCTTGCGCTGTCGACGACTACTACCTTCATCGCGATTTGTTGTGGCGTTACCATCGTCACTCACTTTTTTCCCACAAATCACACTCACTGTATCCACACGCGAAACTGAACTCGAGGTGTTTTTGTTTTTATTACTGCACGCACTAGGGACCGGATTCCATGCACTGGACAGTTTAAAAATATCGTCACGGTTAAACGTTTTGTACTTCGTGATCTCAATGACTTCTCGTATCAACCATGGTATGTAGTGACGTTCTGTCGACAGTATCTGGGGGCTATGCAACTCGATCCAGTGGTTAGTGTCAGTCTGTGTGAAATGTTGTGCTCTAGCCGACTTCTGTGCATCATTGTTTTTTACTGCTCGGATGTGTTCCTTCATACGATCGACAATTATTCGTTTAGTCTGACCGATATACGAGCTCTCACAACTCAGTTCGCTTTATAGACACCCGGTGTTTGTAAAAGAAGGTGGTGTTTTGGTGAACGAAACATTTTTCCTATTTTGGTTAAGGGGGTGAAAACAGTTTTTATGGAAAACTTCCTTAATAACTTGCCTGTTTTATCTGTCACCCCTTGTACATAGGGCAGAAAAACTGATAGTCTTTGTACGTCAATTTGCTTCTTCCTTTTGTATATTGGTTTACATGTTTTTATTTCGTATCCATTCTGTCGCAAAACCGTCTTAACGTGCTCCTTTTTCTGTGGCAGGTGGTGTGCATCACAAAAATCATAAGGTCTATTGGTTAATGACCTGACGACCGAATGTTTTGGGTGATGATGTGAAATGGCATGTAAATATTTATGCGTGCGAGTTGGTTTTCTGTATACAGTATGACCGAGTGAACCCGTCTTATCGGACTTTGACGAATACATGCAAAGAAGAAAACGAGCGATTTTTCTCACTTTCACAAATGAATTTCATTTTGTTATGGGTGTTGTTAAAATGTGCTAAATAATTTTGTATGTGTTGCTGCTTTCCTTCCATTACAAAAACAATTCTTATCATAGTGTGGTAAGGAGCCTGAAATTAGTGATAATCATTTAAATCTAACTTTTCCCATTTATACATGTAGTGGTATAGGTGGTACTAGTTGACCATTGGATAATATACAATGATATAAATGGTAGTACTTACCTGTCCCACTTATACCATTAAGAGTATTAATATACCATTCAATTATTTTATGTTAATAATTAGGTATAACTTTTTTATAAAAAAAAAACGGCCTCAAAAGTTCGTCGAATTATATCCATTTGCCAAGTTTTACTGAAGTCAACCGACTTATTCCGGAAAGTGTTTTATGAATTATTTGAATTATTTGCTTTACGAAGACCTTAAATAGTCCTCTTGCACACTGCGTTATATGACATTTTTAATCATTTACTTAATGCCGTGAAATGCATCAGTATTTTAAATAATTGGCATTTGAAATTTTCAAATGCCTACTTCAAGAATACAGTGCTAAAACTTGAACAAATTGGCATCAAATGTTGACTACTCTTGCAAAAGTTGCTGTCTTTCTTAATTTTACACTTTCAAGTTTCACTTGCCATTTAGTCGTCAACCCGAATGCTGCTCCGTTGAACATAAAACTAATTATTTTGTCATCCGAGAGTTCGCTCGTGTTCATTTATTAAAAACTTGCGTCAAACATTTCGGCGAAGATTGGCTTACATACGAAATTCTTGTATTATATACTCATATTACCAGGCAGGGTGCGATCCGTAATATGTAACAACAAATGACATATTTTTAGTCGATATAACGGTCAATAGACATAATTAATTTATGGTATACAGACATTTGACATATTCTTGCATAATATAAAGGTCACTGGGTATAATAGACGATTGATATAATAACTTTCAACCTAATATACTGATGGCATAATGTTCATTTTATATAAACACTTCAGATCTAACATTCACTGAATATAATGTATTATAAGTATAATTCCAGTGGTTCCTAAATGCAACGGTGAATGAACCGAATTTGTTTGCATTTCCTAGTTGGTTCGACTTCCTCCTGTCGGTTTAGATACCTAACTTAGTATATGACAAAGCTGCCAGAATCGAATTTGTTTGCATTTGCTAGTTGGTTCGACCTCCTCCTGTGCATTTAGATTAGGTTAGTATATGACAAAGCTGCCAGAATCGAATTTGTTTGCATTTGCTAGTTGGTTCGACTTCCACCTGTGGGTTTAGGTTAGGTTAGTATTTGACAAAGCTGCCAGAATCGAATTTGTTTGCATTTGCTAGTTGGTTCGACCTCTCTCTGTGGATTTAGGTTAGGTTAGTATATGCAATTAAATATTCTGCTTAAAGTTTTAATAAATATGTCTTATAGCACAAAAAGCACTTAAAGCTTTACAAAAACAATTATATTTTGCGATTGTAAATTTAATGGAATAAAACAAATTCTTATCAACGTAATGTAGGGCGCTTCAATTATTCGTAAAACGAAATATTGTATTAATTAAATTTTTATTGAATTGATATTCAATTATTTTTTGTGATTTACTCCACTAGTTTGTTATAATTATTAATACAAAGATCGAACACTCAGAAAAAATTCCTTCGATCCGGTCGGATTCGACTAAAATATCGTTGAAAGACCAAGTACAAAGACACGACGCAAGCACATAGAAAAATTCGTGAGGTCCGTTGGTTCGTTCCATGGCTTAGTTGGTATAGCGTCTGGCACGGTATGCAAGAAGACGTCGGTTCGAATCCGACCGGATCGAAGGAATTTTTTCTGAGTGTTTTTTCTGAGTGTTCGATCTTTGTATTAATAATTATAACGAAATATTGTGTTATAGTATTTAATACATTATATTGGTAGTACTTATACCATTTGTTCATTATATCACTTAATCATTATATTTAATGTTTGTTATATTGGAGGTTCATTATACACATTGAAATTATGCCTTTTGTTGTTATACCTTTTGTTGATTATATACAGTGAGTGATATATTATATCCTTAGAAATTATATCAAATGTTATTATACCAAGTGAAAATACATTATTTGTTGTTATATCTTCCATTACACACCCTATCGGGCAAGTATAACCAAATGTGATCAAAGAAGAAGAAATTACAGACAATGAAGATACAATTCTGGTTGACGACGTGACTATAAGAGTCTCAAGGGAAATTAAAATTAGATTATATTTTTTTTATATTTATATTTTTACTATTATTATAACAAAACTAGCAATGTTATCATTGTGTTGTTGCAAAACTAGCTACGTTAATTCTGAACAATTACAAATCTAGTTATTTTAGGATTACTATTGCAAAACTCTCCATATTCAATTTTTAAATAGAAATAAAGTAATAAGTTTAATAAATACTGTGTTCTTGTTTTTACATATTGTTTATCTCTTTTTAATCACAATTTTCATATAATTAAAAAAGTACCAATTAAAAATTAGTTTTCGGAACAATAAATTTTTTTAGGTTATAGCTTTTTTAACCACGCATATAACGCAGCTTGCTAATGGACTTCTCTAGTCAATGAGTGTGCCCGTTTAATAATTCGACTGACTTTGACATTATCTTTGGCATCACTAATAAACAGTGACAGGAATTGAGGGAGTTAAGGTCTATCTACACATGTCCGGGCCGTGCCCGGGACGTGGGCGGGCCGTGCTCCGTCAGGGGCTCAAAAAAATAACGTTGCGTACATTTTGTATGAACTCGTTCACACATGTCCGTGTCCGGGCTGGCGCCGGGACAGGTCCGCAGTTCATACTAACTAGCATGCCAAGTCCACGTCCCTAAACGGCCCTGATGTGTGTGGATAGTCCTTTAAACTACCGAAAGTATGTCTTCTTGTATGGACATGCCAATTTCATCATCAATGCATATACAATTCCTTTTTTCTACTGTTTATTTTTAAACGTTCTAAAATATAGGTTGTCTCGCGTTAATTTTTTAAATGGCGAAAGTATTTAAATAGGCAATAATTTGTAGCAAATACTTAATAGGAAATAATAATTTGTCGCCAATGTTGAGTACATTTCAACAAACAATACGCAAATTCAAATATAATCAGTTCCGAGATGTCCTGGGATTTGTAGAAGGGAATGTCCACATTATTCTTTACTTTAGCTAAATTAGCTCCTTCAATTCCGATCACTGTTTATTACTGATTTACTGAACTTTTTATTATTGTTTATTACTGAACATTAAATAGAGCAATATGAAAATAAAATTTACTTACTGTCCTGTGGTGGTCTCATGACGTACAAGCACAATGGCACATCTCCTTTTGTTGGATCAGGTGCACCTACAACAATAGCGTCTGCTACCCTAGCATGTTTCAGAACAACGTCTTCAAGGGCGGATGTAGACAGTCTGTGTCCAGCAACATTGATGACGTCATCCGCTCGCGCTACTACCCAAACAGCACCTTCGTTACTTATCCAACCAGCATCTTGGGTATCATAATATCCCTGAAGAAAACTTTATGTATGTCATATTGTTGAGGAAAACATGCATTAAAAAACTTACATACAAAATTTTCATTATCACCACTATTAAATTTAATGTAACAAATAAGCCGTGGCAGCTTAATGGTTAGACCTACCGCCTCTCAAGCAGAGGGTCGTAGGTTCGAATCCGGGCTTAAACCTCTGTGTGAATTTATGTGCGATATTTTATTTCAAATTTACCAAGAGCTTTTCAGTGAAGGGAAACTTCGTGACGAAACCTGCATGTCGAAGATGGTTCACAATCCTCGGAACAGACCAGTAGTGGACCGACAATGGCCTAACCCCTCGCCCGAGAAGAGACTCTTGTCCAGCAGTTGGACGAATAAATGGATTAATGATGATGAATGTGACAAATAAAGAAATGACTTACGGCATAAGACTCGAAGTAAGTCTTTTTAAAGCGTTCATCTGATTGCCACAAGGTGGAGGCGAATCCGGGCGGCAACGGAAGTTTAGCCACCAGCCTTCCGACTTCACCTGCCTCACATTGAGACCCATCTTCCCTTAGAGAACGAACTACAAGAAGAACATTATAAATATACTCCTTAAATCTATGACTCTATAAAGTGCAACTATTTGAACTGAACATTTTAGATATAAGGTAAGGGCCCCTTCAAATTTAGAAGCGCTGCAGTAGCGCCTCTGAGACTTTTACAGCATAGGCTCCCAAACTCTTTGGTTCACCGCCCACTTAGGCAAGATAAAAAAATATCAACGCCCACCACTACAAAAATAATAAAATTGAAAAGACGTATTTTTTATATTAACTTTATATAAAAAAATCCCTATCACAAAAATAAAAAATCACAACATTCAACAATCAAACAATATGTAGTGTAGTTTATACAGATAATTCAGTTTTATTTTCAAATGCGTTAACACACCCTGGACAGCATTAACGCCCCCCAATAGCTTCCGAGGGGCACAACGCCCTTTTTCAGCGCCCACGGGTAGGGACCACTTTGGGAAAATATGTTTTACAGTCACAATTAGTGAACTAAAAATTACTGAAGCGCGGCTGCCGCCTCACCGTTGCGGTTCTACAAGCATCAATTTGAAGGCGCATTTGGCACAATTTCTACTTTCATATTATTCATCTTTATATAGCGAACAACGTATATCATTAACATTTTTCTTTGCTTACTGTCGTAACCAGGAACCGGGTATCCAGCAGAGTGAGGTGGAATAGATTTAACGCCGTATCCTAAGCATGCCGCTGTTATTGCAGATCCTGTTTCTGTCTGCCACCAGTGATTCAAAACTGATACACCAAATACACGTTCCGCCCATAGCTACAAAAAAAAATCATCGCCTGCAATCCAACATACTGACTACTTTTGTAGTAATTTTATACAAAATCTCTAAATAAACGTTTTTTTTAAACAAGTGAAAAAGGAAAACGCAAAATACACTATAACTAGCATTACAATTTTGTTTGCTTGCAAATTAGTGAAAAGTCTGTCTGTAGAATGCCCACCATTTTGCAATATACTTATTTGATTCTTTTAAGCAAGTGCAAAAGAAAAAAATGACTATTTTTCAGAATTTTATTGTTCATATTTTTTCGTAATAATAAGTGTATTATAATTTTTTTCATCCTTACAAATAGTGAAAATTCTATAATTTCTATTAAATGTCCACCATTTTGCAAAGTATTTACATATTTCAAATTGGTTCGCGTTCATGTATTTACCGTAATCTCTTTTTGTCGTCGGATATATTTATTTATACCATTAATAAAAATGTTGTTGACAATGACGACAAAGTATAAACTTAATACTATTTTTAAATTTGTTTTACTGTTTTGCTATAGAAAGTGAGGCCGCTAGTCGAATTTAGCGATAGTGGTGAACTGTAGTGTTTCCTTAGAGGTCCAATAGCACGTGACTTCATGATTATGAATAACTGGCTGTGTTTGGATATCGATTGAAGATGATTTTTAAACAAAAATCCAAGACAAAGTAAAGAATGAAAGCAATTTCAAATGCCATATGTGCCATCATTGAAATAACCTTAGGAAACTCTTGAATTAAAATATCTATGTGGAATCTGACAACTTTAATTTTTCCTTCATAATACGTCGTTAACGTAATTTAGATTCTGGCAGGGACAAATGAACACTCGTGAATAATTAACTAATCATAACACCGTTTGACTTTAATAAAGCCGGTTATATTTTCCATAGTCTAAGGTAAATACGGTATGACAACGCATTGTGGCGTTGCAAGAGTCAGAAAACCTTGTGTTATTAGAAATGACTGTAAATTGACGGACAATTTAAATACGAGGTGGTAATTTGTAATCGACAAAACAAGGAGTGACACAATATAAGAGTCATAGTCTTACATATATATAAAAAACAATGTAAGTAACGCACTGGCAGACTACTTTATGTCTATCGTAACTAAAACTAAATTAGTAAAATTTAACTTCAATCAGCGCTTTGTTGCCAACGATTCTTTTAGCTCTATGCGCCACTGAGATTGACAAGTCACAATTGACAAGAAAATAATTTATATTATTAAGCCTAGAGCTTTGTGCTCATTTTTCTAGGGGAATCTGCCTTACGAATGAGCAGTAAATAGAGTTTAATCAATATGATAATTTCATGTCTAATTTACTTATCTATGAATTAAAGATTAGCTTTTCTAGGTGTTTGACCTTTGTATTAATAATTATAACAAACAAGTGGAGTAATTTCACAAAAAACAGATATCATGGTGGTGAAAAATTCTGACATTCAATAAAAATGTAATTAAAGATTACTTGTTTGTGACTATGGACACAAAAGCAATGCACGATGATTGTAATTATGTTTTTGTTTAAAAAACTGAACTTACTCTGGTATCTTGATCGCAGTGCTCGCCAGCGATGAAAACTGTCTTTATTGACTTGCTGCAGTATCTTCGTGCATATTTTGCATTGGGGTCCACACGTTTCAATACACGAATTGCAGTTGGAATGGTAAAGAGGGCGTTTACTCTATGTTGTTCAATGATTCTAAAAATAATAATGATTTTAATTTAAACAGCTCCCTTAAAGGACATCGTGTCTGCTAAGTACATTACTGTTTACATTACCTGAAGTATTGACCTGGATCGGGGGTGCGGTCCGGTTTGCCTTCGTACAACACGGAAGTAAGACCTGCAAGTAGCGGACCGTAACAAATGTAGGAATGTCCAACTACCCATCCGAGATCAGACGCAGCCCACCACACTCCTTTTTTAAGTCCGTACACGGCATGCATGCTCCAGCAGAGAGTTGCCGCGTGGCCAACCGGACGCTGGACACCTTTTGGTGCATCAGTCGTACCTGCATAACGCATTTCGTTGTATTCATTTTCATAAATTTTAAAATACCTTAATTATGCGTTATATATGAAAGTGAACAATACGAACAATAGAGGATAGTCGTTTTTTATATTTTTAGCAAACACCATCAATTAACTTTTTATTACCTAACAATAACATATCGAGCAGAACATATTACTATTTAGAATATTCTTATAATCCAACTACAGCCTTCCACCAGAGTACCTATAATAAGACAATTAGTGTAACACCATACAAACGCTCAGTCGGTGCAAACGCAAACATTCGCACAATTTCGCGATGCACTCAAGTTGTAGATCGCGGATCGGACACGTAATTCATTAAAGAATTCATGCGATTTCTCGGTGTATAAAATATTTTTCCGCGTCAAATTTATAACTATTTAATTTATAAAAGCATCATTACGTATATATAAACTCGCATTTCATTACTATTTTTTTATCATACTCTCTCGAGATACCAATCCGCGATGCGGGTATTAAAAAAAATGTGTAAGTACTGCATTGGACAATGGTTATTTCAATATTGCACTACTTGTCTTATTTATGCTATGCTTCTATTGACATTTGCTTCGTAAACCAATTGAAAGGTATGAATATTAATTAAATTATTACCAGAAGTATACAAAATGTACAATGGTTCATTAGCCTCTACAGAGACACAAGGAACAGGTTCCGCTTCCAACGCTTCTTCCCAACAAATGTCTCTGTCCTTCTCCAAAGTGCACTCTAGTACACGTCGTCTTTGGTATATGATACATTTGCGGGGTTGATGAGTACTTTGACAAATAGCCTCGTCTAAAATATCTTTGTACCTAAAGACAGAAAGAAAGGTTTTGTTTCTGGTTTGATGGAGCAGCGAGTAGATAAGAGTAGCTAAACCTGTAAAAATGCTTTGTGGCTGTCACAGTGGTATGTAGGTGCCCATTTACATAACTACATAGTGGTATTTACATAATCTCGCAAATCTATAGATTTTTGTCATCAAACTGTAGAATTTTGGTTGAGATATACTATTCGAAACATAATGAGTTTAACGTTAAATAAAAACAAACCTGAAAATTTGTATCGGTTTTAATATTGTTGTAAAGTATTAAAAAACTTGATTGTTTGTAAGCAAAAGAGCCATGAATTATATGACGTTTATTTGTAATATTCAAATTGTGTACGTAAAGTGGTACAGTGTCTAACGTATAACTTTGTAGAACTTAGGCCAGGAAAGAGTTCCTTACAATCCCATTGTACAAATAAATGTCCTCGTAAATTCTCGTAACAAAATTACTCCATTTATGTCCACTTACTAAACTAATGTTGGTTTTAAACCAATACTTGCAATGCAAAAGACACTCTTAATACATTGTGTTAAGATTGTCTTCTAAAACATACTTAATTTTAGTGTAAGTGGACAGTAGTGTTCCGTTTCGTAAAACCGTATTTGGCCTAAATTCGCCAGATGCAAAGTTTGTAGGACGGTAATTAATTAACCATAGATATAGAAATGTTAATAACTGAATTATTCATGGCTCACCTCCCAAGATCCGTAAAAAATTATTAATTTACTAAATGTAAAATAATTCCTTTTATTAAGTAGTGTACGCATCCTTTTCTTATGTTATTGTTAACCGACTTTGAAAATGAGGAAGTTCCTTTTTTGTATGTAAATTATGTTACGCGGTTAGCCCGGACCGATTTTGGTGATTCTTTTTTATTGGAAAGTGGATACGTCAGTGTTGGTCCCATTCAAATTTGAAGAAAATATTCCACGAAATTGTAGGTAAACATACACACACACACACACACGCACTAGCACGCACACGCACACGCACACACACATATATATATATATATAGCGATCGTTGTGAGGGGACGTGCGCTGCTTTTATTTTAATTGTTTTAAATATTTTGATTTGTGCTGTTTTAAATTCGGTGTCAGTGCAACATCGGCGCCTCTCTTACTATCTTGAGGCTGTTCCCATGATACTGCGCGTCCATCTTGGATTTGTGTCGGACCTTTCACTCAGTGTGCCTGACTTTGTTGCTGGTGATTAGCGGTATATCGGCCCCTCTCTTACTATCTTGGGATTGTCTCCGTTAGAGTGCGCGTCCATTTTGGATTCCATCAGACCTTTCGCGCGGAGCGCCTGGCGTTGGTGTGTGAGCGTCGTCTATCGTCGCTGGAAACTCACGAGGGTAAGACCAATCCCGAAGTCGAGTGATACTGACAATGTAGAGAACTATAGGCCAATAGCTGTTCTGTCAACTCTGGCCAAGTTGTTTGAATCTGTACTCCATCGGGCCTTAACCCCACAAATTAAGCCTTTTTTGTGTGAGTCGCAACATGGTTTTAGGTCAAATCGCTCTGTTAATACAAATCTATTGGTTTTAGTCGACATAATATCTGATCATCTAGACAGGGGTATCCAGGTTGACGTTCTCTATTTCGACTTTAAAAAAGCTTTCGATCGTGTAGATAACGACGTGCTTCTAAGCAAGCTAGATCGAATTGGCTTCTCCCCTAAGATGGTTAAACTTTTTGCTAGTTATCTACGTGATCGACAACAGTATGTTCGGCATGGATGTTTCGTCTCGGCTCCATATCATACTCGATCCGGCGTTAGCCAGGGTTCAGTCCTGGGTCCCCTCTTATTAAATTTAATGATCAACGACCTGGAATCAGTTCTAAAGAGCGCTCGTTGTCTGCTTTATGCTGACGACCTCAAATTAGTGTATGGGGTGGAGCACACAGCCGATTGTGAATATTTACAAAGAGACGTCAATGCTGTGTTCCAATGGAGTGTGGATAACAAGCTCATTTTCAATCCAGCGAAATGTTTTGTCTGCACTTTTAGCCGTTCACGTGCTCCGTTACATATGCAATATGTGCTTGGGACTCATTGACTTGCAATTATTGGGACTGATCCGATTAACCGCGTTTTTTCTATAAAGGATCTTGGTGTAGTCTTTGACTCGCGCCTCACTTTTCACGATCATGTCGTGACACTTGCTGCCGACTGCTTTCGAAGACTGGGCTTTGTGATCCGCAACGTCAAAGACTTTCAAGATTTTGGTGCTATACGAATGGTCTATAATGCTTTAGTGAGAAGCAAACTTGAGACGTCATCGCTTATATGGCACCCGCATGAAGCTACGTATACATCTTTGATAGAAAAGGTTCAAAAATCTTTCCTTAGATTTTTCTACAAAAAAATTTACGGCTATTATCCGTTTATGTATCCGACAAAGTATTTACTGGGGACTCTTCAGTATGATTCCCTTGAGGTGAGGCGGAACAACAACCTGCTGGTATCTGTTTCTCAGGTATTACGCGGCGAGTCGGACTGTCCTGAGCTAGTGGGACAGCTTGTAAGGCTCTTTGTCCCAGACATTCCTAAAATAGTTTTAAGAGCGCGACGTCGTGAACTATTCACAGTCCCACTGGTGCGTACCGTATCGCGCAGGAACTCACCACTGCTCCGTGGCCTCGCAATGCTCAATCAACTCTTGGCATCAGCACCGGAGTGTGATCTGTTTGCATGGCGATGGGCGGCTGTGTGTTGTGAATGCCTGAGATTTTGTGAAGCGATGGATGATAGTGAGTCAAGTATAGTGCTATAGTTTAATTTATTATTTCAGTCTTTGGTTTTTTTTTCATTTTTATTGTTTTTTTTTAATTAGTTTGGTTTCACGGCGCATTGGTTATGGAACTGTAATGCTGTGTAAACAAATTTACAACAAATAAATACTTACAATGTTTGTAAGCTATGGTAAATATATGGTAAGTAAAACATGTTTTGTAAATTATAAAGGAAGCCTAATAAATAAACAAATAATACTTACCTGACGATTTTATTGGGCTCAACGCCGCAGCTGGCCGCGATGATGACCACAGGCTCAGCGTGCTCGATTCTTGTCCTCAACTCTCTAGCCGCAAATCCTGTGTAAATAAAACAACGTTATCATGATCATGTTCATGATTTCTTTCAATGGTATTATGAACTTTAAGCCATAATTCTGCGACATTAATATTCCATGTCAAAAATCGCAGATTTTTTATTGTAATTCTTCGTAAGTTATAATCACCAAAACCGCTACGCCATGTGCTTATGATACACTAAGGTGGCGTAGCCATTACGATAACTCGCGTAGCACTAATTTGGTTATGTGCGTACGTACAAGCTACGTTTCGCGATAGTTTAAATTAGTATCATAGTATTACCTATTTCATATTTCGAAGTACCATATTCATTACAGATCGAGTATCGTAAATTGTACATATTCAAATAAAGTATATTAAAGACCGTTAAATAAATTCTAACTTCAAAACACATACCTCCAAAAACAACAGAGTGGATAGCTCCAATGCGGTTGGTGGCTAACATGGCCACGATGGCCTCGGGAATGAGTGGCATGTAGATGAGCACACGTGAACCTCTGGTCACTCCTAATGACGACAACTTGCCCGCCAGCCGAGACACCTTACATCGAAATAAAGAATAAAACGAACTAGACGATGCAATTGAAAATAATTGAAACAGGTAGGTTAAAAATCAGAATAAAAACTTTTTTATTTAATTTGTAATCACTGCTTTTCGCTAGTGGCTCAGTGGCGTGTAAAGTATGTCCTTCAACAAAAACATTCTCTCCCTTGAAAAATGTTAAAAATAGGTAAGCACAAAATGTGTACCATTCGGCTTGTTTTTTTTATAATAACACACACACTCAACATAACCCCGCACTAGGGAAACCCTGTGTCGCGGGTGCCATGGACACGCACATAGACAACCACAAATTACACCCAAACTCACGAGAGAAGTAAATGTAGGCCATACAAATATTTCTTCCGGCATGGTAACCGCTAGGCCTCGGAGGCAGTTAAATTGGGCTCAACGCCGCAGCTTGTAGCTGTATGGTATACTGGACCAAATCCTCTCATCTGATACACGAACATCTTTGCTGAATTACCTGATCCTGAAGCTCAGTATAGGTAATGCGGCGTACGGTATCCGTGAGCGGAGAGTCGTAGACGAGTGCCATAGTTTCCCCTCGACCAGCCGCAACGTGTCGGTCTACCGCGTTGTGGCACACCGACAACTCACCACCAACCCACCTTCGACAAATCACATTATTCTTACACATGCGAATCTGAAGAATGTCGCGGAATATCGCGATAATACAAAACGGTAATAAGAAGTAATTACGAGTTTTGACTTCAATTTTCTATCATACGAGTATCTACATCACAATCACGTTTACCACTGCTTAAAAGTTTGTTCCCACGATATGGAATTCAACAACAACTACAACTCTACGACTGTCACGTGTTTATGATTACTAACGATATTAATGGAGCATGAAACCGCTCAATTTAGAGCTGAAATATAAAAAGAAAAAAAAATATAGCTAGTCGTAACTCTTTATTTCTACTATCCTCCAAACAAATAGTGAATATTTATTGTATTTAATGTGTATTTACATTCAAATGTATGAGTATAATAATGTCATGACTAGGTCACAGTTCATCAACCTTGTAATATACATACATATACATGATGAAGTCATTGAATTGTCCATCCGTTACAGAAAAACACAGCAGTTGCTTCGGTGTTGCAGTTACCAGGCCGAATTTGAGAAACTAAATTAAAAGTATAATAAACAATTTCGCTTTGCTGTATTAATATTTAAATACGTTGCATACATCAAGGTCCCTGGTGTTTTCAACGGACTTCTATAAATATTCATTGTGATTACTACGCTCCTTCAGATATAGTATATCATCACATTCACACTAGTGCAAAACATATTCGCATTCGCTGTTGCGTGTTATGTAGGAGGTACCCAAAAAGCATGTAATGAAACCACACAGAAGTAGTGAAATGATGAAAGGATATATGTGAAAAGTTAATGCAGATTTTTACCATTTAGTGAAAGGTGGGTTGGAGTTATCCAGCACACGGTCCCAGGGCTTCGTCCACTCGATTTCTTGAGCCACCTCTGCCCAGAAACCCTCGGGGTCATCTAATGAACGACGATGAGCGGCCTGACATTCGGGAGTAAGGCCGCCATCACCTAAAGGATTTCTTTTGTTTAGATTTCTTAAATTATACAAGAACAAGTACCGGTATATATTGTTGTACCCTGATGTTTAGTGTGATAAAATATTTTTGTCGTGTAATCCAAGTCAATATATCATTTAAAATCTTCATTGGAATATTTACCCTATGCTATGTATGGTGTGACGGGCTGATGTCCGCAACTCGACGTCCAGGAGCCCATTTTGCGCGACAATAAACCTATATTTTGATTACATACGTAAGTACATGTGTATAAGAACACAAGATTCCCGATAACATGAAAATTGTTCGCGTGGCGCTCTTTTACATTAAAAGGGGAATGTTTTGGTTTATTACTTATTTAGAAACGGGCCAGTTTCTTCTAAGTATTTTCGAAAGAAACCAATTTGAAATCTGCATTTATATTGACCATTATGTTTTCGGATGTTTAGATGTGTTCAGAGCGTAGATGAAAACCTCTTACCTAACAACTTTCCACTATCTATTTTACTAGAACATAAAACGTAACGCGAAGATTTCATTTATTCGGTGCTGGACTTGGTTATGTATGACCTACTCAATTGATGACTTGATGGTGTCAGTTAAAGGCTGCCAATTTTCGTTTTTATTCTCCTATTACAATTTTACATCCGGATGAATATATTGTGAGTGGTAGACATTTATTAAAATCAATAAAAACCTTAATATTGTAGGTGATAAATCGAGATATGCCAAAAATCCAAATCAATGAAATTCAAAGAACTCCTAAAAACTTGTCATAAATCGGTTCTTGCGTCTATGTCTCAAATAAATCTTACTGATTAAGTGGTTTGTCCAGTTTAATAAGTACTTAGATAGGTTCAACATTGTGAATGACATTTTATACAATATTTCTTGTTTTACAAATCAATTGTAAAAAGTTGAGTGACTTTGCTGTCTCAGGTACATACACACATCAAAAAAAGTTTGCGATCACTTCGAAAAACTGAA